CAGAAAAACCCCAACAAGTACCAGAGTTGCCATATTTACAAACCTAGACAATACTGCAAGAACACTTCAGCTACACTGAGAGAAGTTTGGCTTTGAGGAGGGCTTTAATAGTGAGGAAAAACAGCTGAAGTTGCAGCTGTAAATTAAAAATGAAACTCTTTCCACTACAAATTAACCATCTTTGCCCCAAACCGATTCTGGTGTGTTTCATTTCATAAGCTACAAAACTATAACTATGGATCTCCAGCTCTGACCTGAGTCAGCTTTTCCATAAGTGAGGCAAAATTATCCCTGACATTCCTTCGGTACTGGCAGAGCAAAGATGCCTACCTCAGACAGGGCCTTGATCACTGCTCTGTACACTGGTTCCATGTTTGTTCCACTGGTCTCAGCTGCTTTCTGGATATCCTGCAGCCATTTCCTCCTGGTTGAGCTCTGCAAGCTCTTGGTGTGACTTTTTTCCACACTTGTGGTCAGGAATCTCACCAAGTTATCAATTGTTTCATACTCATTGCCAGTGAAGTTGGAAGCAATTAACTCAAGGAAAATCTGGAATGCCTTTGGGGATAGCTTCCCCACTTTACTGAGCTGTGGGTATCGGGAGCAAAGCTGTTCCTTTGCTAGTAGGAAAAAAAAATAGAAAATAAGACAGGGAAAATTTAGTTATTAATCAGTTTTGCAAAATACGAAACAAGACCTAAACAGACTTTGGGTGGAGTCCATCCAGCCCGTCCTTCTAGGTTGCTTTCAGCTGTCTCCTAGATGGAAGTGGCCACACTGGCAGGTAATGTCCAGTGTCCAGACTGTACGCATCCTTTTACTAGATGCCGGCTTCCCTCCTGTGAGAAGGAATCCGGCGCAGCCCTGGTTTCTCTCCTGGTGCTGCTTAACTCCGCGGCCGGTCTGGCAGAGCTGTCCCAGCGCGGCGCAGGCTCTGCGCTCACGGGGGTGCTCTTGCACAGCCTGAGCAATGTGCGGGCGCTGCCTGGCTCCGCAGCCCGGGCTTCAGTCTCTGACTGATGCTTCCATCATTCTTTCTGCATCCTGTTTTCAAATCCCGTTGGGCCCGAAGATGTCCCTGCTCACGGCAGGGTGTTGGACTAGATGATCTTTACAGGTTCCTTCCAATCCAAACCGTTTTATCATCATTATCACAGATTTTAGCTGAAGAAGTAGCAAGTACTAACGTGGCCTCAATCATGGTGGGGCCATGATGCTTAATGCTGTCTTATCCAGCCCATAGTCTAAGGAACAGTCAGTATTCTAATTTAATTTGTGATTTTCTGTCAGAACTAGGATGGAGAAATTTTTTTATCATATAAAATATTTGGATTTTTTTCCTCCACTTTCTCCTTACTTTGAAGAAAGGGATGCAGAAAAAAATACACAGGAAGTTGAATGTGTTATGATCACTTCCTTCACTACTGAGCCACAGCATAATGAATTATTTTCCCCTTTATAGCTAATGTTACACTTTTCACTTGCAAGGACAATCAAAATATTGTACTCACTTTTTACTCTGTTTCCATCCAGGAGAAGACCAATGAACCCTTCCCCCAAGCCTGCTTGTCCTACATCCTTGAGAGATTAACTTGAGGCTGCTAGAAATAATTCATATTGCTGGTAGGTGGTATTGATTTTGCTATGCTCTCTTTCTAAAATTTATTTGTCCTTTATTTTATGAGCCCTTCATGGAAGGGACTGTGTCCTTCCATATTTCCATGGTATGTTCTGGCATGCTTTGAATACAAGAGAGCAGTGAACGGCCAGTTTCTCCTGGCTGGACATCCTGGAGATTATTAACAGTGACATACTGGTGTGCTCCCCACCCCACCAGCTGCCTTCATGAGCTAAAGGATAAAGAGATTTTGGTGGTTGCCAAAGTGAGCCATTTTTAGTGATTTGCAGCAGAAGAAACAGCATGAAGATGAGCATGGAGATGAAAAAACCAGTCTCTTCCACCCAAGCACACATGGAGACATATTCTTAATTGCTAATACAGTGTTTCAGAGCACCTTATGCCCACATGTTAATATGTACAAGGCTGCCAGACAGCAGGTTCAGGTGAACCTGCAGCACTTCTGCCGGACTAAAGTCTTTTCTATCAAGGACCAAATTTGCTAAGTTTATGCAGTGAAATAACCAACAGAGAAGTGATACTCAAAGCTGCTCTGTAATTCATGAGAGCTGTGTGACAGTGTGGATAACTACAGGCAATTTGAGATCTATAAGGAAAGCTGTTCTTTCCTGTGAGGTACATTCTTGCTGGAAGCACTGCAAAATGTATCTATTAAAAATAGCTGGATAATACAGATGGACTGGACTAAAAGTGCAAACATGTCCTCAGGCTTTGTGTGCTTTTTCACTGCCATATCACATGTATACATTGCATATTACAGCTGAAATAAATTTTCAACTCATCCCAGTGTCATTAAAACATTGAGCTACTTCTCTGCCTGGGAATCTTGCACAGGAGGAGGGGATGGAGCAATGCATTAACAAATAGGTCTGGGTAACAGTTCCTTTCCATTTTACACCTCATACTGTGAATGCTTATGACTGCTTGCAAAACCAAACTGGTGCTTGCAACAGCCTCATTAGCTCTGTCACTGAATGGTTGAAGGCCTCCTGTGTTGTTTTCCCAGAGCAGAGATTTTTCCTTACCCTCCATCAAGGCCTCTTTTCCCCTGAATTCCTTGAATGTGCTCAGAACAGCAATCACCTCTTCCAGGTCCAGAGACCCACATGCTTTGCTGTCCCACTTTTCAAAAAGTGCCTCCAAAAGCTGCTTCCTTTGGGCCACCTGAGACATGCGGTGAACCTGCAACAGAGGAACAGCTGGTGTTTGGTAACTCTTGGACACTGATGCTGGACACCACACAAATGGGGACACTACACAAGGGTGGACACACTCTGCAAGTGGTTGTGCCAATCACATCATTCCTATGGGCCAGGCCAAATCTGTACATACATGGTTCAGACCTAGAGATGAATTGTTAAACCTGGGAGATAACTTAGAAGCACTAAACACAGGTGACAGTTCAGTTTACTAGCAGGACCAGCACTGCAGAGTTATTTCAAAGTGAACAAATTAAGCCTGTGCTGGATTTAAGGTGATGTCAGCTCAGGTGCAAGTGCAAGTTTCGGGACCTAACCACAGCCTTGCCAGTGACACCCCAAGATGGGACAGTTCATATTTCTGTACACTGTTATTTTGCTGGTGCTGCCCTGAAGTGTGTGGGCTCCAAGTAAATACATGTTACCATTTGTCCTCTAAACCCAGCACAGAGGGATAACTGGCTGGAGTGGAATTCACTCAAAGGCCAAACTACTGGCAGTGTGTGCTGTGTTCAGTGAGGACTATGGAGCCGTCAGATACAATATCTCATTCAAATTAGGTCAGCAGCACAGAGGGAAACCAGAAGGAGGTCTGAAGAAAACACAGCTAGAGAAATGCACCACAAAAGAGACCTGTAGTGATATGAGGCATACTGATGCTGGCCATGAGGAAGGAGAATATTTTTTTTTTTACACATGGCAAGAGCATCTGGTAACTTAAAACTAAATAAGCCTGTGCACATTCACATCCAGCCATGCACATAGCAAACCCAAACACACTTGTTCTAAAATCCTCCCCAAACATCCACAACCTCCTATGTACATACCAGTGCAGTAGGTCAGAGATCAGGTTCTTGGCTATTATAAAGGTGAATAAGCAGAATGGAATGTTTTGGACTCTTTCACAATTAACTATCAACTATTGTCTCACTGAGTCCGGCTCTAGGATAGACAGACAACCTCTAACAGAATGAGTCTGTCATCACTTCCAGAGCTGAGGGCTAGGGAGGGAGCATCTGTATGAAAACAAAGGGGTAAAAGGTCTCCTGAAGGAAAAGGGGATGCAAGACTGCAAGTGGAAGAGCTCTGCCAGCATCAGATTAACAGCTGACTTTGCAAAGTGCTTGTGGGCATTTGCTTGGTTTTTGTTTGGACATGGGATCAGCAAAACTTATCAATATTTACTTTTTCTCGTTGTTTCATTTTTTCCTCTTCTGTCTGTTTGTATTCTCCTTTGATAAATACAGTAAGCCTCTTCACAGTAGGCAGAGAAATGTCTTCACCAACAAAATTGTCCATGAGCTGTACAAACTGTGGCAGGGTGAGGCAGCTCACAGCAAAGCTCTTAATATAAGAATCCTGACAGCTCTGAATCTCTGCCACGCTGGGGCTGGGACCTGAGTATGAAAGACAGAAAGCACAGTGTGTCACAGGAAGCCAAATGCTACCCTAAAGCCAACCACGTGGCAGCTATCAACACAGCCCTCAATCCTGCACTTCCTATCCAGGGAAATTACGGCTGAATGCAGACTGACTCCATGCTGAGTAAAGGCCTTAATCTGCTTATACTCTTCTAATAGCAGCTCTGCAGATCCAGTCTGGCATGGATGCCATCCTACAGCCAGGTCAAACCCTGACTACAGGTGAGCTGGAATTGCTCTTACTCAGCAGGGGGCTGTCTGAGACAAAGACCTCATTGAGGGACTGCTGTCCCAGACAAACAGGATGCACATCCACGGACTGACTGAAGGGCAGGGTAGTGCTGTGCACTGGAAGTTACCACAGAAAGCTGTAGGTACCAGGGGGCTGTACCATCAGCTTTACATAATGAGCCTGTCATTGGATTGTTCAGACAATGCAGACCCAGTCCTTGCAGTGCTCTAATCCATGAGACACAAGAGTGTTCACAGAGTGCTAGCAAGGAGGTTGGCCCTTCTAAGATGTTTAAGAAAATACCTCTTTGAAAGACAGTTGTCTGATCACAGCCTTCCTAGAACAAAGGCCTTTGTAGAAAATTAAGTAGGATCATCCTTTGGAAACACAGCGAGAGATTAAAATAAAAGGTTCCTGCTAGATGATCTCATAGCACATCTTCCTATAGGCAGTCACAGTCTAAAAGTTATTTAAGTAATTTCTAGATTTAATGTGCTCAGGTTCCTGTCTTGCTATGATAATATTACAGAGTGAAACAGAACATAAAGTATCTCCTTATTATAAAAATGCTGCTGCTTCACAAAATCCCTACTTGAATTAAAGTGTCTGCTCAGGGCCTTGAATACAGATCACCAGCAAAGTGACTCACCTGCCATCCTGTGAGAGGAATAAGCTCTGAAATCTTTGCAGGAAACACCATGCTGCAAAGATAGCAAAGCTTATGGTCTTCTCTACTCAGAAATCACTCACATGGTTTTGAAATGGATTTAAAACACCCTGTAGTTAAACCAATCCAAATATATACACTGAAAATTATTAAGGTCTGTCAGAAAAAAAAAAACAACACTTTACCTTTACCCTGGTCATGCATACCCTCATCTTGCAGTCTTGTCTCTGAGCTTGTCTGTTGGTCAGACTGGCTCTCGTTGCTTGCAGAGGTTTCGTTCACAGCCTCTGCAGCTGGAGTGTCCTGCTGGGACTCAGTGACATGCGTGTCTGTCACACCTCTGTCTCCTGAGGCTGTGCTTGTAGCTTCAGGTGCTGTCTCTGTAACTCCACTGTCCTCTTGACTAACTTGCTCTTCTGATCCAGGTTCTCTGTTTGAGGTATGATCTCCTTCTGGTTTTGTTTCTGTCTCAGGCTCGCTGCCCAGGATGGAGTCCTCTGGTTTTCCAGATCCAGGTTCTTCATCCAAATCAGTAGCTTCAAGGCCAGTGCTTTCCACAGCTGACATGGCATCCTCACCTTCCTTGCTCACTTCAGAAGCACTTGGCTCTGCTTCTTCAGTTTCCTCCTTGGAAATTCCTCCAGTCTCAGCTTCACTCATGCCCATTTCTTCAACAACTCCTTCTGTAGCACTGGTGCTCATTCTGTCAGTCTCTTCCCTATCATCATCTACAGGTTCATTTCCTAAAATCTGTCCCTCAGAAATTTCTGTTTGAGACAAGACCAAGTTTTCACTGAGTTCCTCACAAACTTCCTGGTCACCAAGGCTTCCCCAGAAATTCATAAGATGAATATCTTGCAGCTCAATTATTGGCCCTAAAACAGAAAAAATATGTGCAAGCTGATAGTGTGCCCTGGTTTTATGTTTTCTAGTGTTGCATAAGAAAATTCAAAGAAAAAAGGTAATGCCAAGTAAATACAAACTACCAGAAAGTATCTTCTACCAAGACATCTCAAGAACACAAAGCTTCAGAATAATGTCTTTGCCTGCAGAGATCTGCTCTTCTGGCTATGTATTACACCACTTCTCCTTTGAAATAAATATTTCATCATCCTCTACACTAAGAAGGAGAGATGTAATTCACCTTGCATTTGATCTCAGCAATTAATTAATGTCCAATATCTTTAAAATATTTTAATTTCATGCAGATGATTCCCTCCATTTTTACTTTTTCTTTCTGGAGGTATTTTAGTGCAAACACAAAATTAACTTCTAATATTGCCCAGTAATAAAGAACAATTGTTTCAGAAAAAATCTTTCTTTAATTCTATTTCCCAAAAGGTAATTCAGAATTCTGTAGTAAGGAAAACATTTGGATGCTGAAGCATTTCTGAACATTGCATCACAATTTGCCAAACGTGCTTGCAAATTCTGGTGTATAGACCACAGCAGTTATTTGGATCCTTTTTTTGGGCTCTGCTCATTTCTGGTAACACTTATAAAACATATCTGAACCATCCAGCCTTGTGTGGACTCACAATGTTTTAACCACAACTGAAACATCCCATGTGCTCACATTCTCTGGGGTTCCAGAGTTCCCACTCATCAGTCTTGGGCGTTCTGTCATAGAAGTCTCTCAGCAGGGCCAGTATTTTTTGTCTATCCAAGACACCAACCTAGACAAAGAAATTAAAATTACCGGACTTTTCCTGTGGTTCTTGTGACTTACATCAACATTTGCAGCACTACAAAGGCACCATCAGCCAAGAATTACCTGTGGCTGATAATTACCCATTACCAGAACATCACTATAAATTCCAAAGAAGTGAATTTATTTCATAGATGCAAAAATTTCTTCTGGGCTTTGCCGGCACTCCCCATATATATTACTTTGCAGGCTCTTCCTTTGCCATGTCCTTGATAAATTACAGTGAGATAATTGTAACTGTTCTGCCAAAGGAGTTCTTCGTGTAAAGATCAAAGCTTTAACACTTCATACTCTCAGGACAGATATTGATTGCCTGACAGTACCATGGAAGAATTTCCATGTATTATGGGCTGTGCTATGTTACCTTAGTGACTGCACATTGTAGTTTGGTTTTGTGCCCCATCATCTCCTTTGAAGTGTGATGTATTGGCCTGGAAACATAATTAGTCCAAAAGCTAAGCTATTATGACAATCTCCCTAATTTCCTTTAAAAATTCATAGGCATTTGACCACAGAGGTGAGAGAGGTATCAGCAGTTCCAGTGCAGAGGAAGGTGCAGAGTTTATGAAATCCTTATTGCTCAGGAGTGTACACAGATGATAAACCCAGGAAAAGGCAATGATATGGGTCATTTCCAATCAGGAAATTGTGGGGTTTAAAAAGTAAAGCAAACCTAAACGATTGCAAGTTTTCCATTTTATTATGTATTCCTGTTGTCATTATTTAAGTCCTGCCACCTTTGTAATCTCCCTCCCATTTAATGAAATAAAGTAGTTAATTAGGAAACTATTTACTCAAGTTCATTATTTGTAGTGAGTAGCTTTCCATCTGAATTATTGATTTCCTTTTCACATTTTGTTGTTAGATTAAAAACTGAAAAATGTAAAATTCACCAGGCTTTTAATTCCTTGTGAACTTTTCCTGTCCTTAGACTAAAGAAATAAAGGAAGAACTTTGCTGTTCTTTTCTGGAAATTAGCTCAAGATGACTGCATTGTTTATAACCTGAAACTGTAATTATTGGCACCAGTAGTTAAAAACAGAGGATATGGAAACAACCCTACTGGTGAAGTTAGTGCTGGAACTAAGTGAACACATCACATTTGCTGGTACTGCAGCACCTTCCTTTACAGGGAAGGGGCTTTGCCAGTTCTGCAGAAAGGACCAGAACTGAAATGTAAGAAGCCATCTGGTACAATTTTAGTGCTTCAGTATCTGGTAATTTAATTCCTGCTGGTAAAAAAATGCTGGAAGTCAGGGTTGAATTTCAGCTCAGGGTGGGTTTGGAACAAGAAATGTCATCACAGAATTTTGTCCCTAAATTTACAAGATGTAGGTCCTGATTCCCAATATCTTCTGACATTAACATGCAGATACCTTGCACACCCCTGTGAAAACATTTCTTGTTATTTGTCTTTCAGCTGAATATATCAGATTGTGTTCTGATCCATTTAGGAGATGCACAAACACATTTTAAAGGTGTTCCCAGATCACTGTGAATATTTGGACCCTCCATTCAGTATTTCCATTACACACACTCAATTTTCCATTCAAATTTCCTCAGCTGTTACTCATCACAATCATCTGCTGGTTGCCCTGAACTTTGCAGTACTAATGCATAATTTTACCTAATTAAAATGGGAATAGATTAATGAAGTATTATTAAAAAGAAAATAAGGATGTTGTTTTGGGATTTGGTTACCTTTTTTTCCTATTAAAATAATATATTTGGAGGATTTAGATAACTCAAAATCTTGAAGAATTTTTTGTTATTTGGATCCAAAACCTTTATTTTTATATAAAAATAGGTACATATATAAAAATAGATTAAATATCTGAAATTATCAAATATTAATAGGGGTTTATTTACTTATTTAAACATTTACAATTTACACAGATTTGCCATTTTAGCAGGGGTTCCTGTTATTTCAGGACACTTTTCCTTACAATTTACCCTGGGAGGAACATGTCACAGTACAGCCACCTACAGAAGAAAAGAGCACTACAACAAGAAATCATTTCCAACTCCTCTCCCCAGCTGTGCTATTTTTCCCAGTTCCTAAATTTAGTAGAAAAGGTGACTTTTCTTTGCACTTGGTGTGTGACTAAGGAGGCTGATGACAGATTCCTGCCCACCTGCCCTTCGTGCTGCACCTTATGAGCAGGACAGGTACAGCCTCTCCTCTCCACAACAGAAAAACATCTGTGTTTGTACAGCTGCCCAAAACTCGGGACAGCTTTAATGCCCAGGGAGTTGAAACACGTTGACCCAATTTTTTTGTCACCTAGATATTGGCAGGTGATGATTCTCAGCTGTGACCTGTGAGTAATTCCTTTGGCAACACAGACTAAACCAGACTTGCCATTTAATCAGGGATAGGTCAGTGTTTAAACACTTGATTGTTTTTCTGGAAATGTGATGTGTGTATCCTGAACCCTACAATGAGCTTGTTAGTGAGCAAGAGGGAAGAACAGACACTGAGAAAAGGTCATGAGAAAGCAGACTTTGTTGTTGCTGTATGGCAAGAAAGATAATAAGGAGTGTCTCAAACTACATTGGCTTGAAAACTAATCTCTTACTAAATTAAATTTCATTTTAAAACGCCTTGTTTAAAACATCCCTTGAAATTAATGAAGAGTTATAAAATAAACTGATACAAGTGAGCACAGGGACAATAAGCTAAAAATTCACAGAGCCATTGCCTTTTGGGATATTATAGCAGTGATCCAACTGTGTTCTGGGATTGTCTTGGGAAGTTTCTGTTGCAGTGGATAGTCCAGGCTGTCCTTCTGAGCTGCCATCCTTCTGGATGCATGCATTTGAAATCATAATAATGATCATGTGCATACCTTCTAATTTGACTGTAATTTAAACACTGCTTTCTCAGCTCCATGGCCCTAACTGCAGCTCACTGAGGCAGCCAGCCACACTCACCATGCAGACTGGAATAACTGCCTGCTACCAAACAAATGGAAATTAGGAACTGAAACAAGTGCTTTGCTGTGCTTTGCAGAATGGGGTCTACAGGTAATGGATCACATTCAAGGGGTAGAAGTCCTTGGGTTACTTTGCATTTTATCTCTCCTGTGGGTACAGTAGAACTTTACAAAAGAAACCAGGCCAAGTTTAAGAGAGCTGCGTGGTCCACAGAACACTTTAGTGAACTCAGTTTGCAGGGCAGGGTTACCTTGGAACCTGGAAAACACAACTCTGTGCTCTGATAATTTTTTTTCAGCAGCAGTGGCGTCATTGCTGATAGCTGCTCACTCCTGTTGTGTTAGTATTTTTGGCTCCTTGCCTCTGAGATTCCACTGGGATTAGCAGCATGGAGATGGTGATTACTGCCACAGAAATAATAGGAAGAAAGTCACTTTATAACATGAAAGGAAAGAAGGGATCCTTTGGAAATCTGTGGCAAAGACAGGACTCTGGTTTCCATATCCTTGTAGCCAGGAGGATCCATCACAGCCCTTCTTAACAGAGCCTTAGGAAAGTCAAACATCTCCTAGCTGGGAAGCAGACACATTTCTTCCTTCATCCCTGAAACAGCAGCTTGCCTGCTATTCTCTAGAACACACTATTGGTGTTGAAATGAGCCCTGTAATTCCTTTCTCTTGGCGGTAATGACATAATTAGCATGACATTGTAGAGCACAGTTCACTCTGGGTAGGCTCTGCAAGCATAGCTGGAGGAGTGCTGGGTAGAATATAAAATTTATGTAGGGGAGAAAACTAAGGTTAGGGCAACTGCTCGCTCTGTAGTAGCCAGCAACTGCCAAACTGAGCGTACTCATAACAAGTACCACACTTTTTGGATGAAGCCCAAGCTTTTAGCAATAGTTTATGCCATTGATTCTTCAGTTCCTACTATTTACTGGTTTTCTAATGAGTCTAGCACTTTTTTGTTTGCTTTTTAGTGGAGATGCAGGTGCATTGTGAGGATGATTGATAGAGTTTAAAGCTGCTGAAAACCAAATTATGGCTTTTGAGTTTCATTTCCAGCTCTGTAACTGACTTACTGTATTTTAATTTCCTGTCTATAAACTGTGGCTGAAGTTCACAGTGCTGTTCTCAGAGAGGCTGTAAAGGTGGATTACTTTGCATTTTAAATTTTAACTATGAGATTTATTGAGAGAAGCCCTTCAGATCTATAAAGTAATGCAACATAATTAATGCAATATATGTAATTATTGAAGTAATGTGCACATTTGTTAAAGTCAACCTTCATCAGATTAGCTTTGCTGAATAGATAAATTAGCACTCAAATATTCTGAACTGTGCTGTGGAAGCAGGTAATTTTTTAGAATTAAAGGCCATGGTTAATTTCTTCTCCAGAATCACCAAACTTCAGTCCCAAGTCATCAGTTTAGGTAATTCAGTTTCTAATTAGCCCTCAGTTAACAGGCTATTGGATATTTCTGTGTCTTAGAACTATGAATTTGACAACAGTGCAGCAGCTATTGTTCTCTAAAATACTGCTGAGTAAGCACAAAGAGAGGATCCAGAGTTGAGAAAAAGAAAAAGCAAGCAGTGACCCAGAGAAATACCAAACTGGGAACATGCCCACATTGAAATTAGGCTCAGCTGCTTTGCCTACCTTTCCATAATCACAAGCTTGGAAGAGGTCAATAAAAATTTGCCTCCGCGTCTCATGTTTTGTTGCTTCTTGGAAGTCCTCAGCACACTTATGGAGATATTCCATGATTTTTTGGAACTTGTCACTTGAAACATGTTCAGTGTAGGAGAGGACAAGCTATAGAGAGAAATCAGCAGTGGACATGGTTATCTTTCTTCAAGCATTTTCACCTTTAGTTGAACTCCTAAAAATCTATTGCATGCAATCAAATATTTAGGAATTTGTAATTTAAGCTGCCAACACAACACAGACTTGGTGCCTACTTCATTCTCCCCTTCAGAAGAAACAATATTCTCCAAACAAGCATGGGACACTGCAGAAATGTATCCTGATCAGTTCCCTTCCTGGTCCAGAGGTCACTTATCAAGCTCAAGCAGAGATGCTGGATCAGATCCCTCCTATGAAAAGCTGTGGCTTAAGCTTCATTTTCTTGTGGAGGATTTAAGTTCTCCATGGTTTTCTGCAGCATTTAGTATTCTTGACTTCACCTCCAAGGAGGCATTTTGAGCCACTACATTCTGCAGGAGTGACAGTCACTCAACTCTCAAATGCCACAAAAGGAGCATTGCCTACAATTTCAGTGTTTAGAGGAGCAGTTGGATACAATAAAAAAAAAAGGACTATCCTTTTGAAAATGAGCCTGCTGTCACCCAAGTCCTCTGACACTGGGAATACTACTGACTTGAGATTGATTTTATGTTCCAGCCTTGGAGACACCTTAACACTTTGGATTTATAGCCATGTGGCTTTTATGAGCAAAAGCAATATGGTTCTAAAAATGTGGTGTGCATGACATAAATAATAATGGCCATCAGAACAAACCACAATCCCAGAGCCTGGGCTGAATTATTACAGTAGGTTTCTGGAGCTAGCCACACTAACAGGGAGCCCATACAGTTAAAAGGAGAAATTTCCAAAGCACAGAATGTTTCCCATTATCCCATTTTGAGACTATGGATACCTGACATAAGTGCTAAAATATCTTGGGCTTGTTGAAATGCCACACAGGCAATAACCAGCTGAAATATTAATATATGTTGTTGTTGTTATTATTATTATTATTATTATTATTATTATTATTATTATTATTATTATTAATGTCTTTATTGCATAATTTCCAAATATATGGGACAAGTGGAAAAGAGAGGAAGAGCAGAAAAAAAGCAATGGCCTGAGGGGTGACTGGTAGGAAAAAGAGCTCCTAATGCAATGTTGGTTTTATCTTCATTTCAGCATAAAAAGAGAATGTAGGTTGGAGAGAAGGTGGCACATCTGGGGCTATGGCTATCCACCAGCTTCTTGGGGTTATTAAACCCCAGAGCCTTGTGACAGAGGAACCGTAAAGGTGACGCTGTTGGGATCAGGCAGGTTGGACAAGCAAGCAGTTTGTTATTCTGGATGTCACCTTGATGACACATCCAAAGGCTCCTGCACTAATCCTGTGTCTAACAGCTTCACCAGGACAGTGTTTACAAGCACCATGTGGGCAGGAGGCACCATCACAGGCTTAAGCCTTTCTTAGCTGATGTGCAAGTTACTGTACACATAATTAACATACATTAATTTGTTATTAACTGAGAGATTTTGACACCTCTCCAAAGAAAGCTGGCACGCCTCCTTCTTGCTAGCCAGAGTCCTTGGTATAGTTTGTGACCACATTATCATCAAAAACAATGGAACTGTTCTTGTTCCTACTGATCTCACTAGAAATGGAGAAAGCCTCATGCAATCGTGGAAAATAATCTCCCTTAAAGCCTGATTCTGATCCTGCAAAGACAATGTGAGCAATTCCCTTGGTGTCAATAGCTTTGTGCCAGACTGCTGGGGGTCCTGTGTGTTAGAGCACAAAGCTTGTGAAATAAACCATTAAGGGCTGTTCTCGAGGATTTAAATGTTTTTCATATAAAAGACCCCACCAGGTTGTCACAAAGGATTTAAGAATACAACAGCCACGGTTCTGCATTTCTGAAAAAACACCCCAAACCTGAAAAGCAATGATGTGTGAGGTCTCTCTACTGAGTTTCTAACAGCCTTTAAGTAACCCAAAACTGCACTAAATTCAGGGGAAAAAAAAAAGGTGCCTTTTAATTTTAAGGTCCATTAAAAGCAATGCTTTCCACATGGGAAGGGGCCGTGATCAGTGTGGAGGAAGATCATCTCTGGGTTTGGTGGATGATGGAAAGGGGTGAACAAAGGTAAATTGTAGCTGAAGATTAGAAGCAGCCCTGTCCTGATGATGGAACAGTTCCCAAGGGAAGAGATGAAAGCCTCATCATTTGATTCAATTAAAACTGGACTGGAAAAAGAATCAGAGAATGTGTTCTAAGAGAACATTCCTGGCAAATCAGACAGCCTGACAATCCATGTCTTTTGTGCTTCTGATCCCTGTTGTCATATCTTTAACTGAGTTAAAATAAAGAGTACACAAAGTATATTTTGAACAGTTTTCTAATGCTAATGGAGTGTGAATTCATTCAGTGATTATATATATGTACCATAGAGGTTGTGGTCTAATGCTTCATTGCAGTGACAAAAGCAATTCTCTGGGCTCTCATTATCCACAATAGTCTTCTTAATTAGATGCAATAATTCTGAGGTTAAATTCAAAAATATCTCATTTCATGCTTAAAAAAACCTTCAACAAGTTACCATAAAAATGCATCTCTGTGCAAAATACCAAACATGTGAGTCTCCTGAGAGGGAAGAAGGCACAAAAAATCACACATGGTTGCTTGGAATTAGTCTCTGCACAGCTGCTTTATACTCTGGTTTTAATTATTATAACAGCACCCACTAGCATTGCTGCAATGAGAGTCTGCCATTATTCCTATCCTAAACACCCCTCTTTACAGGTTTAATTACCCAGCCTTAAAATCCAGCTCTGTCACAGGTAGAAATTGCTGGCAAAGCTTGGCCTGGACAGCTTTCAATATCGTTTGGACCAATTTGGTTGCTTTCAGCTTGAGGAACAGCAGAGTAATGGGGTGAAACTTCCAACTACATTTATGATTTTTATGAGTTAAAACTACACTTCTGATGTTTTCCAATGGCAGCTTCTGAGTTTAAAATTACTTGGTTATGTTTCATTTATGAGATTTGTTGCAGTTTGTTTATGGTTCAGACCAGTAATAGTTCAGGACAAAGGCTTCTCATCCCAGGTCTTCATGGCTTGGTTCATCCTGGTTAATGGAACTTAGTCAGAAATAAAAATACTGTGAGGTTGTTATTAATTACCCCAGGCTAATGGTTGTAGTGAGACCCTCCTGTCAGCAGCCAATCAAAGTCTGAATTGACAAGTGATTCAGGGTTTTGAAATTTTTAGAAAGGGATGGGGAGGGGTGTCCTAAAAACCACTGCCCCAGGAGTAACTTCCCAAAGAGCAGCAAGCCTGCAGCTCTGAGGAAAGCAAAACAGTTCCCTCCAGCTGGCCGGAAGGGAAGTGTTGTGAGAGCAGAGGATGGAAATGGAATGTGAAATTCCAGATACAGCCAGTTACCTGGGATGATGGAGAAGGGAAGCCCTTCACTTACCCCTCTGGGCTGTCCCCAGGGAAATGCTGACACTTTGTAATAAACTCCACATTCTAAACCAAATGCTCTTATTTAATTTCTCACCTTTGTGAACTCAACTAGGTATACTGTTTTTTCCAATGTGTTTAAGATTTTCAGCTTCCTGTCACGGGTTGCTGGTAAAAAAAATGAAGGGATATTGGTTTAGAAAGCAACAGTTGTGATTTTGCATATTGTACACATATTTTTGCACAATGTGCTGTTACATTAATTTTCTTCTCATGTTGGATGACATTTATTTGAGGTTATCCCACAGTAGCTGAAGCATCTGACTGTACAGAGACCATCTAAATCTGCTTGCATTTCTCTTGCTGAGAATCTCCATTTAGCTATTCAGAACTGTAGAATCATATTTATTCTTGACGTAAGTTAGTGCAAATTGCGATGATTTTAACAGCACTTACAACTAATTATGTGAGGGAGGAAATGATTTTTGATTTAACAAACAGATAAAACTGCCTTAGAACTCTGGAGACAGGGATTCTGCTTTGCAAGAGAAAAATCTGAAAATCATAGTAATTTTCTCAAGAATATGAGAATATTTTTACTGATTATCATATTCAAAAGTATGTTTTGGTCAGCTTCTGGGTTGCTATAATGGAACTGAGAAGAGACATCAAACATCCATATAGGTTTCTAAATGAGTTCTTTGAGAACAGACATGCTATTTCTGTTAGCATTGTTTTTCTGTTCTTTCTTCTAAATACATCAGGAGTAATGAGAAAATCCATCATAGAATGCATTTCTCTCTTGTTGGTTAAATGTTCCTAAACTGTACATTATCTTTATTGACGTATAAAACAGAGTGTAATGTTCTGTTAATGTACATTGAATGCTATTAAGTGAAAAAAATTAAGAAATTGAGCCTATTAGAGAAATAGTAGAGGGAGCACCTCCAGCATCTGGAGAGCAAATATCTGAGCAGGAAATTCCTTCACAATCTCATGTCCCAGGGTCTGTTTGCACTAGGGAACCACATCCCCACAGCAGGAGCACAGGGGCTGTGTTTGGCAGTCACACAACATCCTACCAATATTGGATGATTACTCAGAGGAACAATTCTGTAATACAGACAGGGCTGACCAAGGATGAGCTCCAGGCAGAGGTGACTCTAGCAGCAACAAAAACACTCTGGAGTGTCCTGTTTATCATCCCAAGCCATCAAAGACACATTTGTTATCACTGATGATCATTACAGGACTAGCAGCAGGCTTGTGTTGCCACTTCAGTGTTCCTGGTTCTATTAAATTATCATCATCTGGGGAGGTCAAGTGTGAGCTATATAAAGTGGACAGGAGTTATGGAAATCTTCCTGAGCTGAGTGCTCTGGTACAGAGGCCCTGGGCTGTGTGTCACTGGATGCCAGGGATTAGCCAAGGGAATGGCTTGATTAGATGAGCTATTGGGTGGAGCATTAGGTAAACCTCAGCAATTCCCCTGAAACCAAAACAGGTAACAACACTGTCAGACTTTGTTGATCCCATCTTTGTTCCATATCTCCCAGTATGCCAGCATTTCCAAGACCTCCCATGAGGAGGAGGTTGGTACAGTGATTCTTAAAAACAGCAGTAAGCACATGGCAATGTCTGGCTAATAAGGGATGTAAGTGGATAAAGTCTGCATCTGGTCTTTCTAGCTAGCTGAAAGATTTTTTTTAAAACATTTTCCCATACTTTTCAGGATCATATGAATAAATTACATGGTGGTTCAATCTCTTTCCAATCTATCTCAAGATTCATGGTTGATATCCTAGTGTAACTACCCTTAGAGACTCTTTCTCTGTTATCAAATCCATTTTCTGTTTGCTCACAGTTCATATCAGAATTCAGATCACAGCAATAAAACTAACGAAGATACATTGAGAACTTGCCTTTTCGCATATCTTCAGGAAGAGAATCAGTGACATCTGGAAAAAACCTTATGGCACTCTGAACCTAAAAATCAAGGTAATAGTCAAAGGCCTGTGTCACATAGACAACAGTAGACTGTTACTAAAATAAATCACCCAGAAAAATCAGACATATGGGCCAGTCATGGGTCTTACACATAGGTAAGATTTGTGAACAATGCCCTGTCCTCTGATCCTGTGGTGGCAGAGCCATCACCCATGCTGCCATGCCAGGGCACATAGCACTAGCACAAATGTCCTTTTCATCCTGTTTGCAACAACCACAGCAGGATGTCCCCTAGTTACCAGTGCTGCTGGGATTCTGTCATGGCTATCCACTGTCCACTCCTTGAACAGAGCTGCCAACACCTCCTTTCTCCTTGCTGTCTCCTCAGCATTCTGTCTTTCCATCTCCTCCCTTTTCTCACGTCTGTTCTTTACCTCAGCCTTCATCTCAGCTAGCCTGTAGGACATGGGAACATGGATTAGAAAGAGACCATCATAAGCATACTTAAGATTGATTAAGCCTACCCTAAAGAACAAAACAAAATGAAGCAACTCTTTGCTGAAATTCCTGTCTATGAGGAAGACATTTAATGGAAAATCATCTGTGCAGCTCTCCTAGTTTTGTGTCATTTCAACAGTGACACATTTTTACCTTCACATTTATAATGACATTCATCATTTATTGTGTAGATGTCCTTCAATTTCCTTTCTATTCCAGCAGGGAGACAGGTGCATAATTTTGCTACAGTTGATTTACCAACAAAATTGCATCAGTCTTCATTGTCTCCAAACCCAAGTACCTTTTCACACAAGCACTTCACTGGCAAAGAACAATGTTCAAAAAAATTTCTGAAGCAGCCTCACACAATAGAGCCCTCACTACCTTAGCACAGGGATAATACCTCATCCTCTCCATCATTTTGAACATATAGAGTTTGCAGATTTGGACTGCCAGCCAGCTCCCTTTCTTCCTGCTTTTCTTTGCTTCTCGAAACACCCAGCCATGTTTTTCCCAATCCTCCATTTCACACAACAAAAGAAGTGAATAAAATTGACCCTCAACACATCTGCTTTGATTTTGACCTTGTTAATTTATGAAATGGGGAAAAAACCCATTAGGAAGGTCAACATGCTTAGAGCCAAATGATCAGTTCATATGGAGAGAACAGCTCCTGTTCATGGAGGGTGCTGGATTCTCTCTGCACTGAGGCAGCTACTCATCTTCATGGCCTTCACACCCTCTGCAGCTACTCAGAGAAAGGAGAATTGCTCCACTTCTGTACCTCAGAATTCCAAAACTGTATTTTAGCTAACAATTCCTGCTCCCTTCTTCCCCCTGTGTTTCACATGCTGTGAAATGGGCTGATCCTGTCCCTGCCCTCTTCTGGGGCAGTTCCTCCAGGGTCATCCTACAAATTATAACCCATCAATATTTTCTTTAATGAACAGAAAGACCTGTTTTACATGTCACAGCAATACACTTTGATCAGTCAGTTTTGTCACAAGGTCCTTGTTCTTCATGGCCATTTATCACAGAGTTTTCTTAATGAATCATTTGGTTCCTTAATCGATGGTGGGTATTGCACAAGTGCTGCTGAGGCAGCTCAGCCTCGGGCACTTTGATAGCAGGGGGAGGGTAAAATATTTTCCCATCTTCTGACTCCTTCTCAGAGTTGGAGACAAAATGCAGCAGGTGGACAAACAGATTTTTCTCCAATGTATGCTGCAGCAGAAAGAGAAAACCAGACTATTTGTAGAGGTGGCTCCTCCTCTGGAGCTGTCTACAAACTGGAAGCAGAGCCTGGGCTGTGCTCAGAGCTGCCAAGGTGCTCTGGTGGTTAATTTGGGTAGTGTCCAGCACAAGTTACATTCTGTGCTGCACTGGGCTGCAGTTTTGCATTAATTTCTAGGGTCCTAAAACTGGGCAGCTGCATCCTCTGCCTGGTGTCCCACAGACAATAATGGCAAATCAGGGGTAACAGTACTGGGCACCACCCATTGCAAAGTGAGCTCTTTTTGGATCAGATATTTCCAGAAAAATGAGATGGCAGCGAGGTGACTTTTCCCTGCAGAACCAAACATGTTTCCTCAGGAAGAGAGCTGCCTGCCTCCCACACAGGGATGAGTGACTCAGCCTGAAGGACTCCCATCCCTGGACAAAGGCTGTTTCAGGTATCAGTCTATGTGCATAAGGAATTTCTCCCATCTGTTCTCCTTCCTGCCTTGACTCCCAGTCAGGCAGCAGTTAAGGAAAAACTGGAGAAGGTCCAAGAGAGCTCACTGAGGATGGAAAAGTGTTAAATGGGAACCTGTGATGAGTCCTGCCTTGCCTGAAGGTAATGCCAAGGCTCCCAGGACCTTCATTTGGGCCAGAATTTTATTCCTCACCTTTCTGGTGCTTATGTGAGAGGTGTTAAGCACAGACTGGCATTGCTCTTGTAACAATTCTGGCCTGTTTGAAATCTAGTGACTCACATGAGGAGTCTCACTGCTGTGCGGTGTTGTTAAAATCCTGTGTTGCTGTGATTTAAGAATCCCATGCAAATCCCACAATACAGTCATCACAAATATGTAAATCCTGAGCTGCTGTGAATGCAAATCCCATGATACTACTACCAGTGGATATGCAAAACCTGCTGCAGCCATGATTACAGAACCCCCCTGGCAATGCTGTCTATGGAGATATTTATTTCTGTAAGCCTTGACAGTCACTTCCTTTGACTCAGCTCTGAGAGCTACAAATGGAGAACCTGTCTCCAAATGTAAAGATGGGCTTAACAGCCAAGGTCAAGATAACAGGTCATGGGTAGCCAACACTTTGTATTCAATAGGAAAATCTGTCCTCTCCAGAAACAAGCTCTGATTCACAATGAAAGCCAAGAGTATTTTAGGAGGGGAAAATAAGCCCATAAAACAGAACCAAGCAAAAGCCCAATCCAAAACCCCAGGAAATTGTATGTATTTTAGTTCAATCACTTTTTCAAAATAAAACTGAGATATGGTCCTGTATCCAGGTGTCCCTCTGTGAAGCAACAGGAATATTAAACTGTTCCCAAAGCAAAGGTGTGGCGAGGCTAACATCCTAAAAATCCCCCCAGAACAGCCTGTGCTTGAGTGAAAACTGAAAGACATATTTCCCCAGCTCATTTGTTTCATGGACCAACATTTAAAAATAGAAAATGAAACTGAAATTCTTTTATCAGTGACTGTATGAAATTCCCTTTCACACTGCTTTGTTGTATTCACGTCAGGCATGTTCCTACAAACTGCAGCAGTATGTTTAATGGAAATGTGGAGACAGAAGTCAGACAGAGAGACTTAACATATCCTTTTTAAGCATTATAATACTGGGAACTTCAATTATCTTCAGTTAGGGTTTTTGCATAAGACATGTCAACATTTTACTTCCCTAATTCCTGACACTGAAACCAATTTTCAAGGTGTATGAACTATTTATGCAAATAGACAGTCATTCAAACAGATGTTATTATTCTACAAACACTGGTACAGTGATCTAGTAGTGAATGAGTAATTTTGACATTAATCGCAATCACCTCTGGATCATCTATGAACTGAAAAGCTCACATCTATATTTTCCTGAATAGAGCAATGAAAATAAAGTATTGTTGTTCCCCTAATGCTCTCACATTTTAACCTTAGTATTTTGTAAGGTGCCATGGAACCTTGTTCCAATACTCATTAAGTACTATACTAAAGCAAACAGCCCAGAAATAAGCAACAGAACAAAAAGAAAACAGTTTGTACTTTAAAAGGAAAAAAAGAATATAAAAGGAAAGCCTAAATAAAAATCCCAGAAGGATTTTCTACAGCAAACATGTCAGGACAATGTTGTTGGCTTGGTCAAGAGAAAACATACTGAAGGAAGAAAGAAAGGTCATGCTTTTATTAAGTTTGGAAGACTAAAGAAACTATCTGAAGAATCTCCAGACCTTTGATACTAACACCTGCCCCAAAGAGATGCTGCCACTAAGCTAGACCAGTTTGGAAGCATTTTGCATTGCTCATGTGTAATTGAGACAGAGTCTAAAGAGGAATTATATCCTTGTGAAGGGCAGAATATTGCCTTAAACAGGAATAACTAGTGTTTCATTCTGTGTGCCATGTTCTGGTATTTGTCCTGCTTCTCAAGTTTTTATGAGACAAATATCATCCCTGGCACTGGTCACAAAGTGTGTTTTGCTCAAGATTCTGCCAGCCAGGCTGCAGGGACACCATTCCTTATGTAAACCAGAGACCAAGACACCAGCTCTGGCCTTGTGAGCAGCCACACTGTCAGTGCTCTCACCTGTGTGATGCTGTACCTTGCCTCAAAGATTTGAGCTCCTCCGAGACCACCTTCATTTCTCTCAGGTATGGGCCTGGTTTTGTAGGAACACTGTACTGAGGGTTATGCCTCATCAGATATTCTCCAAGATAATTAATGGGGTTAAATCTGGTTGGTTCTTGGTCTGACACAAGCACATGGTTTCTTTCCACTGCCATTAACAAATTTTCTGCTCCTTGGATTAATGTAGGGAGGAGGTTGTCGAGCAAATAGGTGCGAGTATCGAGTGTCTCCTTCTCCTCATTGTACCACTCCCTGGCCAGACAGTCCCCAGGTTCTCTCCTCCTCTCCTTTGCTTCTTCTGCCTTTAGTGCTTGAACCAGCCTCATCTTTGTCTCCTGCAGATTAAGACATCTTTGTTGTACCTTTTCATGAAAACACTCTTTCCACGAAGTGTAATTGCTAGGACATGGCAGTTCATCACCCCCCTGATTGCTTTCCATCTCTGCTGCAGTCCTATCCTCATGTCCAAGTTCAGGATCTTGTGGATCTGCAGATTGGGCTGATTCTTCTGGCTGAGCAGCCATACCTCAATCACTGTGACACAGAAAAAAAGGAGCTGTTATGTAATGCCAAGAGATGCAGCAGTGCCCTAACAGGTGACACAATAATAGTCCATTGTTAGGCATTAAATAATATTTTTTCTATGTTTCTTCTTTATTCTGTTACTGCTGCTTTATGCTCTTAAATAAATACAGACCCTTTACTTCAAAGATCAGTAAATAATTTATAAAGATTAATTATGTATCTCAACAGCCCTTGGAGACAGAGTAACTAAATTAATGTTTTCCTTTCTTAGGGCAGAAGAAACTGAGACACAAAAGGGGAATGATTAATTCCAGGTCACTTAGAGACTCAGAAACCAAGCAGTGAGCAGTGCTTGGAACTTGTCCCCCCAGTTCCAACCAGTGGAATCCTCTTACCCCCAGCACATAATTTCTGTTTATGTCCATTCCCTGCCTCCAGGAAATCCAGTGGATTATGAGACAAAGGAAGCAAGTAATGGAAAAATCCAGATACCCAGGAGCAAGATTCCTCTACATGCTTCCTCCACTTCAGCTTTTCTGAGACTGTGACGAACAGTGAGGAAGCTCGTCCCACAAACTACTTAATTTCAACTGTGGCAACTATTTTTTGCTCTGGACATGGATCAGCAGAACTTCTACAGAAAGGAGAAACCTATACCATTTTTTCTGTGATTAAGTTGCTCACAAGCATTTTATGTTGTAGATCACTCTGTAAAAGAATAATCCCTTAAGAATTTCAAGAACTTTACTGCTTAAAATGTTCATTATGTGAAATGTCAGGAAGAAACTGAGCTGCTCACAAGGCACAGTTTGAAAAATGTTCCTATATATCTCCATGCATAACTGTCTGCATCTGGAATGGTATTAACAGACACAGAACAGAGCAGAAGACTGGCTACCACTTGATTCAAAGCATGAAAAATCAACAGCATGCTGAAAATCCCCCAGCTCAGTGTTCAACAACAGCAAGGGAAGGGTGATATTAAAAAATAATCTAACACCATTCCAAATTAGAGATGAAACTCCACTCTGAACTTGTTGCCACTCTACCCTCTTCAAGCTTTTATTTAAAAATGCTTTTCACTGAGGCCTTTCAGTATCCATAGCAATAGCACTGCTTTTGATATGTATTGCTCTTCCTATTTAAGCATTTGTAGCTGTTCTGAAGCAGTTCAGCCTCCCAGGAAATGCATAGATATGATCTACAGCCCTCCTGGCACACAAATTTAATTATGAATATGTTGACCTTCTGGTTCATTAACACTGTTGGAGTACAAATGCTGCCTGGATGGGTGGGATGCTCACAGCATTAAATTTCTAGGGTTTTTTTCTCAATGGGCTTGTTGGCATCTAGTAAATTTTTTCCAAAGGTGCATTCCTGCTGGGAATGGGATGGCTTTAGCTGCCTACCTGACCCACATGGAGAGTTTTAGGTTGGCAGTTGGCTTTGCCACCAAAGGCATGAGCTGGAAAAGAGTCTGGATTTACAATGGTAGAAGGGAAACCTGCCCACCCTAAGGAATTGTCCCTTGCTTAGGTGAGTTCATTTCAACAAGCTGTAAAACCAGACTCCTTGGTTCAAAGCAGGGTGTTAACCAAATGTTCTGGTCACATTCCAAATCAGCTGGTTTTTCGATGCCAAAATAAACTGTTCTTATAGTTTCAAATACTTATGTTATTTCTTAAACATCCTTTATGAAACCCTCTGCAGTTTCTGTGGAATGTTAAAGTGATAACTGCACTCTGCTTTATGAGATGGCTGATTCTGAAAGATGACGAATATGTTTTCTACACTGTTCTCAACCTTTTGTTAGGATGGTTTTGAGGATTAGTAAATGTTTATAAAGGATCTCCATGTATCTGACCAAAACAAAACACGAAACAACCAGTGTGACTGTTCTGTCTCAATTCCATGGCATCCACGTAACTCCAGGAATGGAAGCAGAGCATGGAGAACTGTGCCCAGTGCTTTAATGCAGTACAGATGAAGAAGACTAAGAGGGTATGGAAGAACAAACTAAAAAATAAACAACAAAGGAATGCTACAATCAGTACATGAAACTTGGGATTTGTGAAGGATTATAAGACTCCATTGGCTCATAACCTTCAGTGATTCTCTTAGTTGAGAATTTGGCCCATAAGGAAGAATTTCTGCACTGAAAGGGTGCTCGGGCATTGAAAGGGATGGAGCCACCACCATCCCTGGAAGTGTTCAAGAAACAACTGGACGTGTTCACTCAGTGCCATGGTCACATTGACAACATGGTGTTTGATCAAATGTTAGATTCAATGATCCTGGAGGTCTTTCCCAAACGGAATAATTCTACGAGTCTATGATTTAACAGTGATATTGAGACCTCTTAGGGCCTGTGGCATTCCCAAATGGAGACCAAATAACAGCAAGCATGGAGCACAGAGGCAAGCTCTAGAAACACCCAGGGAATTTGAAGTGTGATATAAAGTTTCCTGTAAGCCTTTGTTCAAGCTGAAGGCAAGATAAGCTTTCCATTATTTAGTAGGATGCCACTTCCCTGGCTCCTTTTCTGTAAGAAAAATATTCTTGCTGGAATCCCTGCAGGTACAAAAATATTATCTCAGTGTTTTCTGTAGAAAACCCAAATGTGCTCATAAACAATATTCTTATGGTTTCATTCTTATTCTGTTAGAGAATTTTGATGGGATGGGATAAAGCCAGGAACAACTAAAGTTTGTTTAGGTAAATATTTTCTAGGTGTTTGAGTTATAAAAGTCCTTTCAAAAACAAAGTTCAATCTCTTTGACATTCTATTCCTCAGAAATAATTTTGCCTTTCCATCATGTGTTTCATAGAGCATATTTATCCCATCAAAAAAAGCCCAATATCCTTTTCATACATGATCTTTTCAATACAATCAAAATTTAAAAATATTTCCTCATTTGCTTTCTGAATCTTTGAAGAACTGTTTTTCTTACCTTTGGAGCAGGTATCAAAATAGATCTTATTCCTCTTGCATTCAAAGTGGCTTTGCAAATCAACAGGGATTTAATATATGCCCATGAACCATTAAAAATCTTGAAGTGAATTAGGAATTTCTCAGACATGCAGTGGAGCTGGGCTGTGAGTTTTACTCCTCTGTGTGTTTGCAGTTGCTAAGCAATAATCCCAAAGGTTGCTATGTCTTTCCACATTCAAAATTGCTGTAGGTTGTCTTTTGGCTTTGGCACAGCCCAACAGACTCTTCTGTACTGAACTTAGAACATTGCATCACATGACTGAAAAGAAAATAAAATCAAGAACGAACTATGAATAGCAACAGAGAACATTATGGGCACAAATAGAGAATCCACAGGTGCCAGTGACAGGTTACCTTCACATTCAAGGTTCACAAAGTCCAGAACTGTCTCAAGTGCATTACCAGCTGAAGGGAGAACAGTGTAAACCAGATGTGAGGATCTCAGACATAAAAATAAATTAATTACAAACTCAATTTAAACATTTTCATGCTTGCTTTCTTGTGTTGCTTTGAAGCAGCCTTGCAGGAAAGGCACACAAGCATTAATGAGGGGGGAGAACATGGTGCCATTTTGTCAGACTGCTTTTAAACCTGAATCTAAAGGAATCTGATTAATACCCTTTCATAATCTCTCCTATATTCTTTGAAGAATAATATGACAGGGAAAGGAGAAGGCAAAAGACAAAAACATCTACAACAGGCATTCTCCACTCATTTACACAAATGTAAATCAGGTGCCTGTTCAGCAATTCCCTTGGGTTAGGCAGGACTTCCAACTGAGAAACTTATGACAATTTCTGCCAGGAAATGAGGTTTATCTAATGCTGCTTCTTTCTTTGTATTTTATACTGGAAATGGAAAAATCTTTAGATTGCCTACTTGCAGGAAAACTGAACTGTGACTTTATCTATGGTTTTTTGTCATTGGAACAGCTGCAAGGTGCCCTGCCCTCTATTAGACTCCATTTCATGGGATAGCCTGTAAGAAACCTTGAAATAGAGGAGGTCAACTTTCATGTGAAAAATACACTGTAATAAATTATCATTTCTTTGCTATTTATTTGGAGAAATGTATCAGAAGGCAATATGCTCACTGCAGTGCATTTCCAAGATGTGTTGAAGTCTAGCATCAATTATGTTAACAAAATGAAGCAGAAAATTAGTGCTCAGGAGTAATTTAAAATGAGGATTTAAACTGGATTGTGCACTTTTTCCTCAAAGCAGTTTGCACATGATTAATTCCTGTTATCTCTTCTCCCAGGTGGGCTTGGTTTTTCCCTTTGCAATTCAGAATTCTGTTGTTATTATGATTAACTTACAAAACTTCTGGAGAATGAAACATAAATTTAAAAATAATTTAAAAAGTGAATTGTTTTCAACTCCTGAACAAGAATATACAGCTATAACTTAGAAGGATGGATCAAACCAGCTATATTTTTATTTTTCTGGAAGTGGAATCCCATGGGTTAAGCAAAGTTTTAATTGTACCATATCTAACTTGGCTGTTATCCCTTAATGTTTTTGTTAAGCAAAGTGTATCCTTTTATTATGCCACCAAATACTTGCACTGTTGACAAAATAATGAGCTGAATATGTCATCACAGATGTTTTCCTGGAATTGCCTCTTCTATCTTTTTTTTTTTGTTTTCTCTGTAAGATACATTTTGGGAGCTCTCTGTTGTCTTTTGCAGCTGATGCCAAGATTATGCAATAAAAGCCCTAACATGTAGTAATAATAAGTTGTGTTAGCCAGGGAAATGTTTGCAGTGTATTAAATAGTCAGTTTTGGAAATGTGTACAAAACCAGCTCATGTACAGCTCTATTTCTTTGAAATGCTACTCTGGGCTGAAGCAGCAGGTGTTGACCACAGTGCTGCCAGCACAGGAAAGAATAAGGCCACAAGCTTCCAGTCTGTTTTTTGTACCAACCCTGATGCTGTGACCACAGCCTGCCCTCTAATTGCTCTTTTCAATCCCAATACATCTGCCTTATACCTTCCTCCTCCACATTTAAATTCTGCTGCTAAAAAAAAACATTGCACATGCAAATTACACCTTCCTAGAGGCTGGAGAACTGTCACAAATTGTGGTTGTTGTAGCTAATAACTGATATGTCAGACTTTTAGTGAACTGTAGATAGCAACTCCATTGTTTACCTGTGGTAAATGTTTTTTAAGAGTGTTTGCTGTTCAAATACCTGGAAGATCTACAGGGTATATGAAAATTACACAAAAGTCTACTTTGGAACCTGGTTTAAATAATAATTTCTTGATAGCAATCCCTGCATGACTTGATCAAAATCCAGAATGAAACACCAGTGTCAGGTGAGGGAACTGCTACAATACTCTGGGAACTTTAGTCTTCTATCAACGCAGACATATCTGAACATGAGCTATGGGCCTGAAAGCAGCCCTGTATTTGCACATTCAAGACCCTGGCTTGATGTGCAGCCACTCTAAACTCAGTTTAGTCCAGTTTAGGAAGTCTGTCCTCCATCCTCACCCGTCCACCAGGAGGCAAAATGCTCCATTAGCAAGGCTGACTTCCCCATTGCAGCCAAGCCCAGCTACAGGAGCCTCTCGGATCTTTATTTTAACTGGGGAATAACCTAAAGAGAGACCACTTGGCTTCTCCAGTTCTTAAATTTACAGGGAAAAAGTGCTGTCAGCCTGAGGAACAGATCGAAGGAGCATCAGTCATGTGCTTAAATGGAATCTGTGGGTTGATACACACTCCTGACAGAGAGTTTGCTCTGTTTAACGTTTAGAACAGTTTCTGGTTATCATATGTAATGTTGTCATTCGATGCCCAAGACAATTATTGATCCCAAGTCACCTCCTTCCCATGAATTTTGTAGATTCTTGATCCAAATTACCTCCTTCTGATGAATTCGGTGGCACCAGGCTGAAACTGCAAAGCAAATGAAGTTTTATAGCACTTGACCCTTTGTTTCAGACCCCCAAACGCCCAACAGTTCTGCATCTGGGAATGTTTGAATGCTTAAAATATAATCATTAGACACAGTTTTTGGTGTTTGGGCATGTGCATTGATGAATGAAGAGGTGTTACATGCTGCTTTCATTATGGAGTTACTATTGCTGCCTAATCCAAGGAAAAGCTCCGTTATGTGACCATTAATGCCAACTTTCACCAGGGGTTGCCATACCCACCATCACGGCTCCCAGTGGGATGGGATTCCACAAACCATCACCAGCCAGGAGGCACACTGAGGGTGCCCTGCTGACACAAATTAATAAAAACCACCCATGAGGCTGAGGGACCCGTGGGGCGATGCCGAAACCCCTTCAGCAACCGCGGGGAGAATGCTGGAGCAGTACAGGTCCCTCAGGGACGGGGTGGGGATGGCGGGACCCTCCTGCCCATCGCAGCCCCCTCAGGGATTGGGGTGGGGATGTCGAGCCCCTCCAGTTTATCACAGCCCTTTCACGGGCCGGGGTGAGGATGTCGAGACCCCTCCAGCCCATCGCAGCCCTCTGACGGGCCGGGGTGAGGACGTCGAGCCCCCCAGGCCATCGCCGCCCCCTCAGGGACCGAGACTGGGAGCGCCGGGAGCGCTGAGGAGCCGCCGGCGCCGCGGGGGTTAACGCGGCGCGGCCGCCAGGGGGCGGCGCCGCGCGCGCGCTGACAGCCGGCGCGTGCGCGCTGGCGTCTCATTGTGCCCGGCCGGCCCGGCCCCGCCGCGCCTCAGTCGGCGAGAGGCCGCGGGCGCGCGCGGAGCTGCTGCCGCTGCCGCCCCCTGCGGCCGCCGCCGCCGCGCCACCATCCGCTCTGCTCCCCTCCCCTGTCCCCGCCATGGAGTGAGGCCCCCGCCGGCCGGCCGGACGGGGGGGCCCCGCCGCGCCTCGATGGCTCTGGTCACGGTGCAGCGCTCGCCTACCCCCAGCGCCACTTCCAGCCCCTGCGCCTCGGTGAGTCCCGGCGGGCACTGAGGGCAGCGCGGCGCTCGGCGGCCGTTGGGGTCCGGCGCGCGGCGCTGCGCATGCGCCGCACCCCCTCCGCCTCAGCCCCCGGTGCCGCCGGTGGCCGGGCCGGGGGCGATGCGGGCCGCGCTGCCCGGGAGCGGGGCTCGCACACCGCTGGGCTGTGGCCTGCTGACAGCCGAGGGGACGGGCGGGGGTCCCGGTGCCCATCAGCAGGCGCGGGCCGGGGTAGGGCAGCTCCCTCCCGGCCCTCATGGTATCGCAGGGTCCCGGTCGTACCCAGCCGCTCTGTGAAGGATGGGGCGGTGTAGCGCTGTTTCCATAAATCCGCTCGGTTTATTCTGTGTTCATTGTGGTAGGAGAGGCGGGAAGCGTGTGTGGAAGCGACCTGACATGGTTGGGGCTCCGGCCGTGCTCAGCTGATCTCATCTGACAGCACCCTCTGGGTATCCCCACTGCCCGGCTCTGCCTTCGCGGGCAGCTAAGGTGGTTTTCTCCCCCTTTTTGTAGAACGGTGCATATAATCTTCACACAGCTGTGTCAAGTCCAGGAGAGACACAGAACGGCCGGATTCCAAATCCCTGAGTGAGATGTGCGGCAGGACAGATGTTCCCGTCGTTGCCCTGGGTTGGGCAGGCGGCTCTGAAGGCTTCTGCCTTTCTATGCTCCTTAAATTTGGGACAGGCTGTTGTTTTGTTTGTTATTTGTATTTCTCTATTACAAACCCCTGCATGTTAACCCCTTAAGCTGCTGCCTACCCCCCCATGTGCCGTTTCTGATATAGTCAGGGATGAGAATGAAAATAGCTTTGCTTTCACTTCTGTACGCTTCGTTCTAAGTTAGCATTTATCCTTAAAAAACCTCATGCATTATCACACTGCTGTTATGCCTGATTTGGAGGAAGCGAATAGTTGAAATCCCAGTTGCTTCCATCCTCAGTGGTGGGGGGGGATGAAAAAGCCAGCTACTCTGAAAATATTTCTTGTTGTGTTAGGTAACCTCTTCTGAAACAAGATCAGCTGCTTGACAGGTCTTGCCTGCCCCAATGGCATTTTAGCTGTCAGAACACTTACCTCTTTTTTCCCCCTCTTTCATTCCCATGTCTCTCCTAAGGTATGTTTACTTAGCAACACAGATTAATTTCACTTATACTTACCTGCTATAAATATTAATGTGCTGCATTACTTCAGAGATTTCTTCTCCCTCTGACTTCTTTACCCTTTCCACTATTCCTTTTCCCATACATTTATAGCATTAAATGCATCTAGTGAGAATAAAAAGGTCTCTCTTGGCATCTTCCTTCTTTCTCCCGTTTGGTTGCATCTTCCTTCTTTCTCCCACTTGGATGCATAGACCCTCTCTTTGTTAAATATTTTATATACATATGAACAATTAGTTGTATTCTCTAAAGCTTTTCCATCTGCAACAGCCAGGCTGTTTCCCAACCAATTAAATTAAATTGAAATCATGCTGATATCTGGATACTACTTAGTTGTTAAATATAAAAACGACCCCCTGTGGAGCCTGATAAATCCAGAGGATGCAGCCTTGGGTTTATGTGTCTATATTTTCTTTCTCCCATGACATGATATGGAGGTGTATTCTGTACCAGAAATAAGTGTGTGGTATATTCCTGGCCTGGTTTTGGGCTTTGCAATTACTTCTCCTTTCTCAGACTTCTCTTGCAGTGTAAAGTGAACTTGATTTTCGTCACTATCTTAATTGCTATTGTTTGAACACTTCGCATTTCCTGTTGCAACTTCCTACCACACTTCAGGTTTGGGCTGCCCTTTTAGCCTCTTCAATATCTGGGGTGGGTTGTTTTCACCCTCTTTCTGTTAGAGCTCATGTGTGTTCCTCCTTTGCAACAAACTTCTTGTTTCTTAATCAAAACTTTGTCATTTCAGATGATTCTCCTTCCTCAGCTGCTGAGGGTTTGTAAGCAGGGCAGACACATTTTTAGTCCTTAGGAAGGCTTTGGTCCTGAACCTGCCACACTTGCCATTCTCCTGGATTTGTGTCAGCTGCAGCAGGAGGACTTGGCTCTTTCAGTTTTAAGTCAAATTGTTTCAAGCAATCTGTAATAAACTGATGATGGCTTCCTTTGACTGTCTCCAGGTTACCTCTTTAAATGAAAGCTCATTTTGCTCAATAATTTTGTCAGTAGGATAAGGGTCTGTCTTTGCTGTTTCTGGGCAAAGATTATCTGGTAACTGCTTCAACTTGTGGGCAAGGGAGAAGCATGTCAGTGTGCAAGCATATGGCTATGTCTAATTCTGTTTCCAGGTCACTCTAGAATTTTGAGGACAGAAATGGATTCTCTTTTAAAACTGCTTGATGTCTTTTTGCTTCAGAGATAAACTTCTCAGACAAGGAGAAAGGGTGAAATTAGTGTCCTCAAACTGGATTTTTTGCATTAAGTGTGCCCTATAAACTTATAATTGGCTCTTACAGATTCAGGGGAATAGCTGATCTGAATCACTCTGAAATTGGACGGCTTTTATTTATAGGTTTTTATCTTGATCTCATTGCCACAGAGCATCTCATGAGCATTCATTTCAGGGTAGTTCATGCAAAGTGTTCATTATACATTTACAGCCCTCTGGTTGCTTGATGACTTGTAAAATTCCTTTAATTGTCTGTCCAGACTTTTGCTGTTTGTTTTGGCCTTTGGTTATGCAGTCACTCTTGAGAAATAAGACTGCAATCTTCAATCCTTACAGCAGAACAGTTGTCTTCTGATGTGCCATGTTAGCAGAAAGTGGTGCCAGACAGGACCATGCTACAATACAAAGATGCCATGAGGTTTTTGGTGCTAATGCTGTGGTATTGTTCAGTGCAGTTCTTGGCTCCTAAGAAAACCTGTATGGGAGATAATCTATTGATTCTTGGCCTTTTAAAGTATTTTTGATGCACAGTTACCAAAAAATGGTATCTGTAATTTCTGGAAAATACTATTTTCCTTTTGTTTGTTAGATCTGCTTCCTGAGAAGAAGCTGGGCAGGCAATCTGGCCCTGGCTGCTCTCACAGTTCACTTGTCTTCCCTGCCCTGAGGGAGACAATATGCTTTTATTGGAAGGGACCGACTGACCCAAAAAGAGAGGATACGCTGGGTATATATTGTTCTAAAATGCACAGTTTGGGAAAAAATATTCGAAAGCAAAGTAAAACCTAAAACATTGGACTTCCTCACCTTAGTCCCAGGAGAACAGCTTGAGCAGAAAGTAGAGTCCTGGAAATGTGTTTGGGAGTGTCTGTCATGTTGTGCTTGGAAGCTCCTTACTGGCTGAATGTACAGGAAATTTTTTCCCCACTTCTTTATGGGGAAACTAAATATAACATTTTTCTACCCCTGGTTCTGTAATTGCTGTTAAAGAACGTGGTAATTGTGATTTTACTTAATCATTGATAAGTCCAGTCTATTTCACATAGAACTTATTTTTCTGTTTTCCCTTTTTTAAATAAATAAATTAATCTTTTGATTGCTGCTGCATGGATAAGGTTATGGATAATTAATTTTTGGAGGGAACTAAAATGTAGCTGGGTGATCAGAAGCTTCTTATGAAATATTTAGTCAAGTTAGGAATGCCTAATATTTAAAGATGCTCTGATCAGTAAAGATCATTTCTTGTTTCTTGGTTTTGTCCAGCTGATGTGTTTCAGGTATAGCCAGAGCTCATTCTGAAAACTGAAGTATTTGGAGGCAGTGGCCCAGAAGAATGAGCTGATTCCTGCTTTAGGCAAACCTTGTAGTGCCCTACAAGTACCTGTTTCCTCTGGTGCCAGCTGTCACCATTTGGGAGATAAAACTGTTTCAGTGAGGTGATCTGTAACTTCCTTTCTTTGAAACTTCTTCTGCTGAAAGACCTGTGAGGGAACCAGGAGGCCTCCACCTCTAGCTGGGTGTGATATTGTGTTATTAAAAGATGATTTCTCTCCAGCTGGACAAGACCAGGCTGTTGGAGAACAGATAATTTTTGTGTGTGCAAATGCAGTCATGTGTGATGAGCCTCTCCTGTTCCTAAAGCAGTCTGATGGTTAAACTGTGACAGAAGACCTGTCCTTCTCTGCAGAATCTGCTGCCTCTTGTACACACTTAGCAGGTTTCCTCTAGGATCTGCATGAAGTGCAATATCCTCTTAGAGGTGAGAACAGTATTTGCAGCTGAGGATGGTGACAGTGGAATTGGGGCCTCACTGAGAACCACAGAGAAACATTCTTAAAACTTGCAGAGCGCATGAAAAAAATCTTCATCTTTTTTTAAGAGATCTAACTCCTTCTGTTGCATATCTCAATGATAGCTTGGTTTCAGTTTTCACCTCTTGAGTTCCAGTGGCACATAAATTCTTGTATTTTGAAAAGGAGCTTGTAAATTTGAAAATGCAAATAGCTTGTGATGCTGTAATGAGTCATTATCTGACCAGCATTGATTCTTGCTGTTTAAGAAATGAAAATAAGTTGAAAAGGGCAGGGTACAGTAGCATCTACAGTCATTCTGGGAGCAATGACATGTTTATTTAAGTGGAAAATACTATTTTGAGCAGAGACTGCCATCCACAAAGCAGTCTGATGGAAATATTTTAGTGTAAGAGAGCTGCCTTTATGCAGGGGTAATGCCTGAGGATTTCCAGTTACTGGAAAAAATCCTGAAAGATCTAAAGCTGCAACTCTTCTGTCTTGGGAAATGGAAAAAAAAAAAAGGGAAATAGCCTTTGGGCAGCTTAGCTCACTTAGCTGCTCACAGCCTGCAGCTCAAGGTTTCATTCTTCAGTCACAAGAAGCCACATCCTCCCAGGACCAGCTGAAGCCAGGGGGCTCTTTGTAGTCTTCATGTCTGATTCTTGCTGATGCCATTAGCAAGAAATACAAATGGAGCTGCTGGTTTGTGACCAGTGCTGCCTTCATGTGAACTGGCCCTGCCACTCAAGAGCACTTAGGCTGGTCAGCTGCCTGCTCCAGGTGTTCCAGTTGTTCAGTTCAGCCTCTGAATTAAAAGTATTTCCACTCTGTGCCATTG